TTTTGAGCCTTTGGACATTGCTCTCTGCATGTGACAGCCAAAACTGCAGCACCCATCTTGAGATCATGAAATGAGTCTGTTTAAGAGGACAGGCCAACATGCCAAGGATGGCAGAGGAATATTCAAATAATCTGGGTCCTCAGTGATGTTGAACTGCTGAAGTAACCGAACCTGAAACGACTCTTCCTCCAGTTGTCTTCTTATGTGATAATATCCTTTCCTCATTTTTAAAAGGAAAAATAAGATAAAATATATACAACAGATTGTTGTTGTTAGCTGCTGTCAAGTCAGGCCCTGACTCATGGTGACTCCATGCACAACAGAACAAAACTCTGCCAGGTCCTGTGCCATTCCCATGATCAGCTGTGGATTGGACTGTTATGACTCATAGGTTTTCATTGGCTGATTTTTGAAAGTAGATCGCCATGCTGTTCTTCCTAGTCCATCCTTGTCAGGAACCTCCGCAGAAACGTGTTCAGTATCAGAGCCATACATAAGCCTCCACTGACAGCTAGGTGTGGTGGCTGTGCGTGAGCTGCATTGTTCAGGAATTGAACCCACGTCTCCTACACAGAAGACGAGGATTCTCCCACTGAACCACCAATATGAAGGAGGAATATTTAATAAATGAATGGATATTTAAGTGTTTCTAAATGTGCAATTCAAGGAAGAAACCCTACTGGTATTTAAGAAATTGGAAAGGACATTGATCCTTGCTGGTAATTATGAACAAATAAAAACGGCCAAAAGAACACCACTTTTACTTAACCAGTTGCCAGATACTACCACTTTTTATTGTGACATGCAGATGAAGGTGTGGTGAAACTGATGATTTCATATGTGCTTGTGGCGTTTTAAATTACTAACAATCTTTCTGGAGAGATTTTGGCAAGATATTTCAATAGTCATAAAAATGTTCATACCTCCAAAGGCTCCAAGCCCACTAATCCTGTTCTTGGGAATCTCTCCTGAAGAAATAAATTAGAATATGCTAAAGTTCATTACAATGTTATTTATAGTAGTGAATAATAGGAAGAAATCAACATATTCAGTAGTATAAAAATTAAAAATTTCAACTGAATTCCTTTTTAATTGTGATTTAAAACTATACAAAAAATATGCACATGGAAAATAAAAAGGAAGGGGAAGTCCAAACTGATTATAATAGTTGGATGTGGATGATAGGAATATAAGTGTTCTCTCTCTTTTTCTAGCTTTTGAACTTTTTGTGATGCTGTATTGATAATGGTGCCCTGACAATCAAAATTTTTATTGTAGTAGAGCATTTGTTTATTTTTTGCTTCTAACTTAATTTTTTGTTTTCCATCCATGTTAATATTTGTACAAATAAAACCTGCTAGTTTTGTACATAGTACAAATTCTATAGCTCTTTCATAGGGTAGGGAGCCCTGGTGGTGCAGTGGTTAAAGCACTCAGCTGCTAACCAAAAGGTTGGTGGTTTGAACCTACCAACCGCTGTGTGGATAAAGATGTGGCAGTCTGCTTTCTTAAAGATTTACAGCCTTGGAAACCTGTGGGGCAGTTCTCCTCTGTCCTGTAGGGTTGCTATGAGTCGGAATCAACTCAAAGGCAGTGGGGTTTGGCTTTGGCTGATTCATACGAGTAATCTGCCTGTTTGATTATGAATTATGGTACTAGCTGTAGTTCTCTACTGAGAGTTTACACTTAATATTCAGTTTACGCTATAGTTCAGATGGCTTTGGAGATGACTTTTAACTTTGGGCTTACGTTTAAAAATCAAGCATAAAGTAAAGTTTTAGATATCCAGCAACTTAATTTTTTAAAAACATTGGGGAAGAAAAAAGAATATTTCAGGCTGGAAATAGACTCAAGAAGCTCTTGAAATTGTTTAGGGTTGAATGAAAGTTATAAGGGTTTACATTGTAGCAGAGACAGTGGCAATAAAAAGAAGAGATAGATGAGGTAAAGTATAAAGAAACACCTAATAAAGCTTGGTAGCTCTGTGAAGGTGAGGGTGGGGATGATGGAGGATAACAGTGGTAAGGTGTTTAGAGCAGGATGACAACATATTTGAGAAAGTGGCCACCGAGTAGTTGAATATGGACTAGAAATTAGGAGAGACAAAGCAGAAAGACAGATTCAAGAGTCTTTCCCATTGCGGTGCTGGTTGAAGCCATGGGGATGCATGAAGTCTCTGAAAGAGGAGTAGAGATGTAGCCTCCCTGAGGTTGCCTACACAAGAGATATTGAAAAGGCATATATGGTGTTCAGAAAGAGAAGAAGCAGGATTATATGAGCATTGCCTGTTTTAAATTAGAAATTTCTAATAGACAGGATCTATACTGTGTAATACAGGAATTTTCATTGAATCAAATAAATATGTCATTAATTATTTCAAAACACGTTCTTTTTTTTTAATTTCAGAAACCTCAAGTAGTTCTTTATACAACTGAATTAATTATAGAAATTTTTCAAGTTCATGTTTATTTATTAAATAATCAGTTGAAAGTTTGTCAGTTTTTATGAAAAATGTATCAAATATGATAAAATCAATTCTTGAACCTTGCTTTGGTTGAGTTTTAAAGAATACTTTGAAATTTACATGTTAGTTCAACTTCTGGAGTGGATTCGGAGTAAGAAAATTAATGACATCATCGTCTACAGTTTAGCCCTAGAAGAATAGTCTTAAGGACATGGAGTACTTTCCAGCCACATGAATGCATTATTTCAGCTGATGTGATTTATATTCTGAAATATGAGCCAGACTGATAGAATTGAATGATCTGTCTTACAGCTGTAGGACCATAAATGAGATTAGCTGTATTAAATTTCTGGAGGCGTTGGTATGCAGTTTGTTCGAGATCATTTTGTCATGTTTGTGTTAGAGCAGTAAACTACCCAACTGTAAACACATTTTAACAGCAATGACGTTAATTTGGGTTTATTCATATAGAAGAGATACTTTAATTCTTGAATTTGTAAGCTATGGCAAGATGAGTTATATACTAAAAACGTCTATTTTAAAAGTCTGTCTCAACAAGATCGTCATTTTTGTTATAAAAAATGAACTGGAGGTAAGAAGGTGTATATTAAGTATTACATCGTTAAACTCTACAAAATAACAAATGGTGCATATGAGATATCTTAGCTTCAGCCTGGCAAGTTACCAAAAACTTACATCATCCTGTAATCATTATCTGCTGTAAACTCCTGACTTTACACAAGAAATACTATGCTTTTAGAGCCTCTTTCACGCTTGTAGTTTGATTCTCATGGATGGTATCATAGCTAGCATCATAGACTCCACATGGGAAAATAGTATTAATGCTTCTTGACAATGTGTTCCTCTAAATTATACCTTTGCATCATCTTATAATTTATTCGAGGAGAAGTATTTCTTTGTTCTTCAGATTGGAGTGTAAATCAAGTAAATAGAATCTTCTAAATACTATCAGAGAGTACATATTGAGAACACATTCGTGCCATTATAGAGAAACATTGTTCATGTTAATGTTAATCTGACATTCTCATTTTACTATGCAATTTAAAATTTCTATTAATCCCTCCTATTTTCTTGAATAAATTATCTGATAAACATTTTATTGTCCTACAACTGTCTGGATTGCAAGTTACGTCTGCCTGGTTCATAGATGAGCTCTACTCCATAGGAGATGATCTAGTGAAGAAATTTTTTTTTTTTTTAACACCACTATTTTATGAAGCTTAGCAGTATGCAGGAAATTACTTTATGGGGTGTGGAAAGGAGATTCAGCCCAGATTGAATACATACTCCTTCAAAAATAATTAAAACAGAATGTAGGAAATAGCTTCGTAAGGTTAACTGAAGTGCCAGTCTCTGCAGCAAAATTAAATCGCAAAAATGAATTAAAACTGATAGATCAATTGATATAAGTTTTGGAGAAAGGAGGAATTAGGTGAGAGTAAGGGGGAAAAAATTAAACACTAATTGTCTGGAATCCTGACATTCAGAATAACAACTGCTGGAGAGATACAAGCCAGTTTCTGCTGGAGAGATATACAACCCAGTTTCTGAATGCTACACCTTACCTCTCTTGTTTCTTTATCCTTTGGTATTCAGAGCCCAAACTCAAAAGTACTCCTTTACCTGGGCTCTGATTGTACATTCCTGGAACCAACCACTGTGGCTAGGGAAAATGCTACATACTTATTGGCTCAGACCTGAATCAAATGCCTATCACCAGGCCGCTTTGTGGTAAGGGGGTCAAAGTGGAGTCAGCCCACCCAAACCACATGACTGTTACACGTGAGAAGAGACTAGAATGACTACAATATCCATGAAAATAGAAATAGTCTCTTGGATTGATTTTTACATCTCAACTGGTGCCCAAAAGTACTGTGTACACAGAACATATAACACAATATACCTATTTCCCTATTTCGTCTAAGAGAGAAGGCTGGTTCTATTGGGGAAAGTTAAAAAGTAGGAATAGATGATTCAAGTCAGATAAACTGTAAATATTTAATAAAGACCTTAATGGCATCTGAAGAAATAGAGCTGGTATAGGTAGAGCCATAAGGAAGAAGTGCCTGGTGAGAATGAGGCATTAGAGCTGTGTGCTAAATAAGCGGCAGTCAAGGAGTAGGCCCAACACCTGGCCCAGTGCCCAGAACCTAGTAACAGTGCCTTTGCTGTCACAAGAATGAATGAATAGGCCAGTGTCAGGCATTTTCTTATAACATCTCCATGATCTTGGTCCCTGTATGAGAAGCTCTGTTAGAAACGTGTTGTGTTTTAAGTATCTCTAAGCAGTAAGGCTGGAAAATAAGTGACATTAGTCTTAAGCTTTATATGTATTTCTGACTTTGATTGACTTTCTTTGCTTATTTTTTTAAAATATCCAAAGATACATGGTTAGCTACTGTAGATTTTCTTATAAATTAATTTATAACTGATACTGAGGAAAACTTGCTTCATATTTGTGCTGAAGTATTTTAATGACTCTTCCATGTTAATGAATGCTGTTTCTTTTTTCCAGGTAATGGCTTCGTAAACTCAAGAGCTTCTCCAAATTTGATCGGAACTACTGGTGCAAATAGTTTAGGCAAAGTCATGCCTACAAAGTCTCCCCCTCCTCCTGGTGGTGGCAATCTTGGAATGAACAGTCGAAAACCAGATCTTCGAGTTGTCATCCCCCCTTCAAGCAAGGGCATGATGCCTCCATTGGTAAATTGAACCTTTCGTCAACTCCATTCTTTAAACCACATATTTTATACAGTCTGTATCTTTATGTAATTTTCTGTACCTCCATTGAATCTAGATGTTTTCTTAATTACTATTCCTATTTAAAATTAACATTTGAAGAGACAACTCTATTTCCAGTGCACAGAAATCAAACTAGAAAAATTGGAAGTAGATCTCATTCATAGTTTAAAATTAAAGCAAAATATGGAGAGGTTATTTTCCTTAATCTTAATTTTATTAAACTGGGATCTTTGCTTAGAAATCTCATTCCCCAAATTAATAAATTAAACCTAACTTACGTATTTCTTCTCTGTCCTTTGCATGCTTGAAGTAATCTACTACAGCTGCTTTTCTGTGTGAGAAACGTTATTAGCTAGGAAATTCAACACAACAAAGGGAACTACTGGATAGTAGGGAAGAATGCATAAAAACTTGGATGGGTTATTCTCCAAGTAATTCTTATTTGCTTATTCCTTCTCAGATAATCTGCCTATTTAATTCTATAAAGAATGCAGGTATCTCTCCACCTTCTGTGTCTTTATAGTTCCAGCCTAATTTACTTTTGAATCCTAAGTCTATGTTTATAAAGAACAGGAAAATACATTTATTCCCTTAGCCTCTGTAGAAAAAAAAAAAAAAAGGAATATATATATGCACGTTTTAAGACCATTTCTAGTTCAGCAACTATTTGACTACTTACTCTCTAAGTGATATATGCCAGGTGTTCTTTGTACTGTGCAGCTGCTAACTCATCATTTGACCTTTTTCAACTGAAAGTGCTGCTGTCAGGCTTAGATAAAATTATATATTTTTATAATGCTTTATAGATTCCCAAACATTTCTATAGGCATTGTTTCATTTGATTCTCAATTAGACTGTAATCTTGGCTAGGTAGAGATGAGGAAACTGAACAAGTTTTTATTTGTCCAACATGGTACAAAATAGAGCCAGAACCAAAACTCTTTTAAATCCTTTATTCTGGGTCCAAAAAAACCCAGAGAAGTACTTTTTCATTCATAGATATAGAAAGCTAGAAACTGTGTCACTCTCATCCTTACAATGAAAACAATAATTGGATGAACAAAAGTAAGTTCACAATTTTTCTTGAACTCATTGTAGTGCTGAGATTTCAGGGCAAACAGCTGGCTGGACTCTAGGGAGAGAGAGACATCTGCAGGGAAAGATAAGTAATTTGAGCACTGACTTATCCAGGCAAGATGCAGCAAGACATAGAAAATAAGTTAAGCTAAATGAATTGGCGAATTGCTGGAGGCCGAGTGTGCACTGGCAGAACTGTGTGAAGCCCTTAGGGGCTGCAAATATAGGAGGAGTACACATTCTCTTATAGGCTTTTTCTCCATGAATGCTACTGCGTATGCACAGACAAGATTGGGAGTGCCCTGAAAATGTCTCCCTTGTGGTACAGACTGGGAGAGTGGAAGAATAGCCACCTCAGCAGAGGCAAAAAGTTTTGCTTGGATTCTTCTTTCCTTTTTTTCTATGAAACAAAAGGATTAATCTATGAGGACAGAGCAAAAAACACCACCACCCTTAGGGCACTGGTGAAATCCCATTGCATCTGGGGAAGTGGAAAAGGAAAAATACTTCCACCATGGTAGAGGAGGAATAATGCATGCTGTGTGCAGAACTGCTAAAAGAATGCTAGGCTATCTGAGAAGGCCAAGCACCGAGACTCAGAGACACAATGCCTGGCTAACACTGAGGCGAAGTCAGAAAAACAGAGAAAGCCTGCCTAACCCCCATTCCCCATTAATAAACATCAAGTAATAAGCAGCTTGCAAGAGACAGACCATTTCTGAGGTACAGCACAAAGAGGAAGGCTTAAGACAGAATGGAGCAGTCATTTGGGGGCGGAGGAGAAGGGAGAGCCTTGGCAAACCAACCTCCCTATCCTCTAGAGAGATTTGAAGCCTGTGGCAGGTACACTGAAGGTAACCATAACAACAGTAAAGCTCAAACCTAGCCCGATTTCTTAATTAAATTAACTCAAACCTTGCACTAAAGTTCTAGTAGAAGGAAAAGTCTGTCTATTCTCAGGCATAAAAACTATTTGCTGTAGTCTCTACCATCCTACACAAGATGTCTGACTTTTAACAAAAAAATTATGGGGCATACCAAAAGACAAGGAAGAAAAACACTCTGAAGAGACAAAACAGTCATCACAGCCAGACTCAGATATGACACAGATACTGGAACTATCTGATAGAGAATTTTAAATTATTGTGATTAGTATGTTAAAGACTCTGATGAAGAAGACAGCATGCAAGATCAGATGGATAATTTTATCAGAGAGATGGAAACTGTAAGAAAGAATTAAGTGGAAATGGTAGAAATGAAAAAATAACAGAAATGAAGAATGCCTTCAGCAGGCTCATTGCAGACTTAATATAGCCAAGGAAAGAATCCATGAACTTTAAAACCAGTCAATAGAAATCACCCAAGCTGAGGTGCAAAGAGAAAGAAGAGTAGACCAAAAATAAAGCAAACAAATGAACAAAAAAACAGAATGAAGTATCCAGGAGCTATGAGACTTCATCAGATGGTTTAACATACACATAATTGGAATCCTAGAAAGAGGAGGGAGAGAATGGGGCAGAAGAAATATTTGAAAAAATAATAACACCAAGTAGGATAAATACCACCAAATGTGTAAGTGCACACATGTACACGCACACACACACGCACTCAGACTGCTAAAAGCAAAACAAAAAAATCTTAAAGGCAGTTAAAGAAATGAGGCACATATAGAGGAATAAAGATAAAAATTAATGCCATATCTTCAGAAACATGCAAGCTTGACAACAGTGTGATAATATACTTAAGTGCTGGAATTAAAAAACAAAAACAACCCGTCAGCCTAGAATTCTGTACCCAGAAAAAATATCTTCAAAAAATGAATGATAGACTTTCTCAGACAAACAAAAATAACAGGAATTTATTGCCAGCAAACGTACTCTGTGAGAATTGTTAAGAGAAGTCCTTCAGGCAAGAAAATATGATACCATCAAAAGCTTAGATCTATACAAAGAAGTGAAGAACAATGGAAATGGAATAAATTAAAATAAAATTCATTTCCCCCTATTTTTTATAAACCTTTTATTTTAGAACAGTTTTAGATTTGTAGAAAAATTGAAAGGTAATACAGAATTCCTATATACTTTACACTCATTTTCCCATTATTAATATCTTACATTAGTATGGTACATTTCTTACAATTAATGAACCAATACATAATTATTAACTAGAGTCTATACTTTATTCATATTTTTTTAGTTTTTACCTAACTTTTTTTTTTTTCAGGATCTCATCCAGGATACCACATTATATTTAGTTGTCATGTCTCCTTAGGCTCCCTTTGGCTGTGATAGTTTCTAAGAATTTCCTTGTTTTAATGACCTTGACAGTTTTGAGTTATTGGTCAGATATTTTGTAGAATGCCCCTCGTTTGGGATTTGACTGATTTTTTTTATCTCATGATTAGGCTGGAGTTACAGGCTTGGAGCAGAAGACTGCAGAGTTGAAGTGTCATTTTCATCATATCAAGGCTATGTACTATCAACATGACTAATTACTGTTGATGTTAATTAACCTTGACCCCCTAGCTAATGTAGTGTTTGACCCATTTTTTCACTCTAAGGTTACACTTTCCCCCTACTTTCCATACTGTACTCTTTGGAAGGAAGTCCCTGTGCACAGCCCACACTTAAAGAGTGGGAAGTTGTGCTCTGCCTCCCTGGGGACAGAGTATCTACATAAATTATTTGGAATTCCTCTGCACAGGAGATTTTTCTGTTCTCTCCCACTTACATATCTGTTTACTTAAAAAGATACAGATTAATAGTAAAAGGATGGAGAAAGATAATGCCATGCAAACACTAAAGAGAGCTAGAGTAGCCATATTAATTTCACACAAAGTAGATTTTAGAACAAGGAATATTATCAGGGATAAAGAGGGACATTACATAATGATAAAGGGGTCCATTTCCCAAGAAATTATCTTTAATGTGTACGCACCTAACAACAGACCTTCAAAATACATAAAGCAAAAACTGATAGAAATAAAAGATGAAATAGAAAAAATCCACATTTGTAATTGGAGATTTTAACACTCCTCTCTTAGTAATTGATCAAACAAATAGAAAAAATCAGTAAGGATCAAGATAACCTAAATAACACTCTCAGCCAACCTGATTTAAGAGACATGTATAGAACACTTCACCCAACAACAGCAAACCACATTTTTTCAAGTGCATATGGAACACTCACTGTATCCTGGGCCGTAAGACAAACCTTAACACATTTAAATGAGTTGAACCCATACAGAGTATGATCTCTGACCATAATGGATTCAAACTAAAAATCAACAGGAAAATCTCCAAATATTTAGAAGTTAAACAGCACACTTTTAAATAACCCATGGGTCAAAGAAGAACTCTCAAGGGAAATTTAAAAATATATAGAACTGAATTTAAAATAAAAATACAGTATCAAAATTGGGGGGACTAGCTAGTATAGTCCTTAGAAGGAAACTTAGAGCATTAAATACTTACATTAGGAAAGTAAAAAAATCCCAATGAGTAATCAAAGCTTCCACCTTAGAAATTCAAGAGAAGAGAGCAAAATTAACCCAAAGCAAGCAGAAGAAAGGGAAAAAATAAAGGGTAGAAGTTAATGAAATTTAAAACAGAAAAGCAGTAGAGAAAGGCAGTCAAACCAACAGCTGATTTTTGGAAAAGATCAATAAAATTGATAAACCTCTAACAAGGGTGACCAAAGACAAAGTGATGACACAGATTAGCAATATCAGAATGAAATATCACCCAGAAGACCTTAAAAAAATAGTAATAAGGTAATTCTACAAATAACTCTGTTCCAGTAAATTTGATAGCTTAGATGAAATGGGCAAATTCCTTGACAAACTACCAAAGAACTACCAAATTCACTGAAGAAGAAATAGTTAA